GGGACCCGCCCAAGCCCCGGTGAACCAAGATGTCCGCCCTGTTCAAAATGAAAGGCGTGTGCTCCGTAGTTCATGTGAATTTCAGGAGACCGGGAGAAATTAGCTGGACACGCTCTAAATAATTGGGCATCCGTCCGGTCCTCCCGGTCAGTGCAGTGGACGAGCTCCCATGATTGCTATTGCCGCTAAATAACATTGGTGTGGCTTTTCATGCACGGGCACAGAGGGGGCTCGGCCGAGCTCAGGCCAATCAGAGCTGATCAGTGAGCAGCAGCGATCGCGGCGTCAGGAGCGGGAAGGAAAAGGAGCAGAGTTTTGAGGGCAGGAAAGTGAGGAATTAAAAGAAACCAGTAAGAATTAGAAGAAACCAAGTACAGGCTGAGAAGGGACACTAAAATCCCCACAAAATCCGATATTTCTGGAAAGCTGTCGGTTCTCTGTCCAGTTCTGTGTCAGGTTCTCTGTCAGGTCTCTGTCAGCTGAGGTCTGAGCTTGTTTTAATTTACAATTGAGTTCTATGGGGACTTCTTGGGTAACGCCTCATGAATTTAGTCTGCAGTAACCACAGCGCCCCCTGTGGGCCATTGGTGGACATCCTATAAACTAGTAACACTCTAATCCCAGGTTCTACACCAAAAAAAAGTGTGACAGCCAAAAAAATGGTCAGGGGTTTCTCAACTGATTCAGACCTAATGTTGGTGTTCTGAGTCCGAATATCACATCATGTTGCTCTAAACGGGTCAACTTTTTGAGATACCGCCATAGTGTGTATGGATGTATGTTACTGTCTACGTTTATTATGAATTCTGATTCAATCAAATATGACTGAGTAAAAAAAAACAGAGTGACTTTGGATACGTATGAATTTAATTTCTTGAGGAAATCATCAGGGTTTCTCAGCTGATGATCCGCCGAAAATATTTTTTTACGCAAAAATCGATTGAAAAAAATATTTCTGTACAAAAAATCCTGACCTCATTGAGCAAAAACCCACGGTCATCTTCGGACTCAGAGCATCAACATTAGTCTCAGGCTGAAAAACCCTGGACTAAATTTTCAAAAATATTTTTTTGTTACCCAGTGGTTATTCATAGATCCATGGACCCGCCCCCACTTTGGGTGACCTTAGGTCTGTAAAAATGCCGCTGTTAAAATAAAGATTACTTACTATTCAATGTTCATTATCGATTTGGCTCTCATCTTTTACAGACATGAGTTTGTGCAAAACCACCCTCGCCTCACCCCCGGTGCTGAAGGGAGCACAATTATACGGAGGGGGGGGGGGGGGGGGGGGGGGGGGGGGGGGGGGGGGGGGGGGGGGGGGTGGGGGGGGGGGAGTCCGGGGGGGGGGGGGGGTGGGGGGGGGGCCACGGGGGGGGGGGGGGGGGGGGGGGGGGGGGGGGGGGGGGGGGGGGGGGGGGGGGGGGGGGGGGGGGGGGGGGGAGGGGGGGTGGGGGGGACAGGAGAATTCTCCACTGACGAGGAGGTGACATGGGAGAGGAGGGTTGCTGCAACTAACATAGTGTGACTGTGCAGAGAGAGGAGTCAGGGGCAGGTCTGAACTTCCATCAAAGCTACAACTTGTAAATGAAAGCCAGGATGTATTTCAACTGTAAATCCTCCTCCGTTTCATTCTTGAACCTTTTTTTCAAGAATTAGATTGCTTCCACTGACGTCTGCTGTTCGTTGTGTCCATGAGCAAGACACTTAACCCCACATTGCCGGACACCTCAACCAGTGTTTCAAATCCTCTCAGTACAAATTTGAGGACGAGGAAACCTTTTCTATGTTCCAAACACTTCAATCCAATTGTTTTCTCTGAGCGTGACGTCCTATAACTAACAGTAAATGAGTCTTAAACAGAAAGATCCCGGGGTACGCTTCAAAAATCATTAATAATTTTAATTAACGTGAGAATGAAATCATTGCCTGATTCAAAATGGGTTAATTAAACATGTGTAAATTTAAAATTAATGAAGAAGGGGGGATTTTTCCTTCTGAAGTTGATAACAGAGGGTTAAGGCAAACAAGGGTGGAATTTGAGTCCTCACTGGACGAGGTATAGAAGATGGCCCAAAACCATTTAGATAAAAGCACTTCCGCTCAGCAAGAAAGCAGACCTGTGTTATTCCCCGGCTCATTGTTATTTAAGGTATTGTGAACGTTGAGTGTTAAGCCTTAATTATATTTAGGATTTGTTAGGGGGGGGGGGGGGGGGGGGGGGGGGGGGGGGGGGGGGGGGGGGGGGGGGGGGGGGGGGGGGGGGGGGGGGGGGGGGGGGGGGTGGGGGGGGGGGGGGGGGGGGGGGGGGGGGGGGGGGGGGGGGGGGGGGGGTGGGTTGGTTTAAAAAAGACACAACATGTTATATGGTTAATAAAAAAAAATTGTTAGGCAGCAGCCAGCCAGGCCTCCAGACACTCCCGTTCGGACCAGATCTGGACCAGAGCGAGACCCAGACCTGCAGCCGCTGAGTCTGGGGCCTTCAGCATCAAGGAGGAAGAGGACTGGATCAGCAGGCGTGGGAATGAAGACAAAATGTCATCAATTACCAATATATCCAACAGAGCAGCCAGAAACACCAGATCTGCTAGCCTCAAATAAACTCTGTTCGCCCCCACCTGAGAAAAAGTTCCTTTGGCCAAACAGCTATACTCAGTGAGCCCGTTCAGGGGGAGTTCTATGGGGAACACAATCCCAGTCCATATAAAAAAAGAGCACCACATTCAAGACTTTATTAAACATTTGTTTAAAAACCTGCTTATTGGACCCATCACGATGGTAACCACCCATAGATGTGTTAATTTCGATTTATAATGTTTTGGATTGACGATGTTGTTAACTATTTACATTTATATTGTAAGATATGCAGTGCACTTTGATGGCATTGTACACACCTTGCCTCTGGACTAAAAGTTGGAAAGCTAATACAGTTGTGGTAGCTAATACTGACACATTTTACGGCAATGTTGATGAATGTAGTATCGGCCCCGATTCTAAGAAACAAAATAACATACATGAATGAAAAACATATTCAGAATGACATGCCATTTATTGTTTGACATTTCGTCATGTGGACATGTCGTCACTGTGGAATGAATTAAAGAATATCTCAAGTCTTAAAAGGAACTCTTTATAGTCATCACACAGACACTTACAGTCAAAACCACTGTAAAATTCACACTTGGCAGTTTATCTTACCACGACACCACACCGTGACTCCCTGTGGTGTGGACCGTCACAGGACGATTCAGTTTTGGGGAGACCGTACAGAGACGCAGGAGCAACTGGTCCCGGTTGTCAGGTTGGGCCTCAAGAACTGCACAACAGGACGTGTTAAAGCGCGGCTGTTTGAACTAACTCGAGCTAAAACAAAGCGTTCTGTGTCCGACAGAGCAGAAATCTTTATCGGAGGGTTTGGTGTGATACTGGGGGGAGGCGCAGAGGTGGAAGCAGAGACGGTGGGATCAGGAAATACACCCTGATATAGAACTCACCTTCGGATGTATTTATCTTCTCGTGGGGAGAGTGTGGGCTGCGGGTCGGCTCTTTCCTCAGCGATGAACGGCTTGTCCTGACGTCTGCTTATCCCGGAGGAGACCTGCAGCACACGGAGAAATCCTGTGATCTAATCCTTCAGTGGTTTACGCTCATGGGTGAAATTACTTTACTTGATTTGCAGCTTATTCTTGTATTGTCCTGAATCCACAACAGTAGTTACTCAGAGACCTAACAAACCAAAATCACCAACGCCCGTCAGAGAATCAACAGATAAGACACAAAACATAGAGAAACATGGAAGTTGAACCACAGGGAGAGACCAATGTCCATACATGGTGTAGAATGTAGAGCGTCCTGACCAGTGGGAGACAAGGTGAGAAACCTCGGGGAGAGCCACATTGATAGAGGATCCGCTCCACACGAACGGATGGGCTGTAGATCCAGGACTAAGGCTGTAGAACCAGGACTGAGGCTGTAGATCCAGGACTGAGGCTGTAGATCCAGGACTGAGGCTGTAGATCCAGGACTGAGGCTGTAGATCCAGGACTGAGGCTGTAGATCCAGGACTGAGGCTGTAGATCCAGGACTGAGGCTGTAGACCCAGGACTGAGGCTGTAGACCCAGGACTGAGGCTGTAGATCCAGGACTGAGGCTGTAGATCCAGGACTGAGGCTGTAGAACCAGGACTGAGGCTGTAGACCCAGGACTGAGGCTGTAAAACAACAATAGAATAAAACGGTGCGTGGTGTTGTTTTAGCCTAGATTAGGCAAGGCAAGTTTATTTGTATAGCACAATTTATACACAAGTGCTGAACAAAATAAGAAAGCATTAAAATTATAAATAATCACAGACCATTAAAAAGAAAGATAAAAATATAAAATCCCTCAGTTGTAGCACAGCTAAACAGAACTGTCTTTAACCTGGTTTTAAACATTGTCAGAGAGGAGGCCTGTCTCACATCTTCAGGAAGACTGTTCCAGATTTTAGCAGCATTAATCTGAAAAGCAGCCTCCCCATGTTTAGTTCTGACTCTGGGCACTAACAGGAGTCCAGTCCCTGTGCTCCTCAGAGTCCCAGCAGGAGTCCAGTCCCTGTGCTCCTCAGAGTCCCAGCAGGAGTCCAGTCCCTGTGCTCCTCAGAGTCCGGGCTGGTTCATATGGGACTAACATGTCACTAATATATTGGTAAAATTTGGCAAAATCCTCCTACAGTATGTTTCCTCTGTACATTACATTATGAACACATCTCATACAACAGATTATTTGCCCTTAAGTCTTCAACACATTTATAGTAATTATTGAGTTAATTAAATGAAGGCTGGAAGAAATGTTTCCTTGGCAAAACGTAATTCCATTTTGTGAAGGTAAAGTGTGTTTTATAACAGACCAATAATAGTCCACTCCTTTTCCAGCTCCCTCTGGGTAGATTTCATATTTGTTTTATTGATCTTGATGTAAAATGCAGCTTCACATTTCCCAACAGAAAGAGAGTAGTTTCTAACCTCTGTGGTCTCGTGGCTCTTGGCAGTACTTTTATCTGTTTTTATCTAAAAGAAATGCAATAAAGGAAACGAGGAGAACACTTCCTGGGAATAACTGAAAAACTGATGTCCATAATTTAACAAATAATCACATTTTATTCTCAGAGACCGGAGGCGGCTTTCATAACCTTTCAATACAGCTGAGGAATTGAGTTTACATTTTAATGCTTTCAATTTTCCCCCAAAATATGGTTAGCAGTTTACTTTGTTCTGGGGTCTGTAAATCTAATAAAGTGCAGCCAGCTTGGAGAAAACATATTTATAATCCTACTGTAAGATATTATTGGCACAGTATTGGTACAATTGCCTCTCAGCCTGTACGTGTCTGCAGAGTGGTACTTCCTGTTGTTGTTCCTGTGTTCCTGTGTTGGTCTGAAACACACACATGTGCTTCTCATGTGTGTGTTTAAAACCCTGTGATCCACTCTTATTATCAGGCTTGTGAATCTGTTTCTACGCGTTTTTAGTTTGGATTCTTGTTGTATTTTGTTATTATTGACTTTTGTTTATTCAATCTTGTTCTGCATTTAAGTTTTCCCTTTGTTCCGCATTCAGAAACACAGATAGATAGATTCACAGATAGATAAAGACAGACAGGGGCCGACAGTGGCTCAGTTGGTAGAGCATTGGCCTTTGGGCCTGAAGGTCGTGGGTTTGAGCCAACCACAAGACCTACTTCACGGTGGTGCTCTGTGTACTGCCACCCGCCACCCCAACCCAGAAATGGATTAAGAGAAAGACGATAGACAGATGAACAGATAGACAAACAGATAGATCATTTTTTGATCCCTGTAGGAGAAATTCAGATGTCCAGCAGCAGAAACACATTCATCCAAACAAACAAATAAATACATAATTCTAAGTTACTAACAATAGTCTCACCATCAGAGGTGGTGAAGCCGCTGGGCATTGCCTTTTCCTCTACAGTCTATGGTGGGGGCCTTACCAATACATTTAATATTGAAAGTTGTCCCATCAGACTTCCCATCCCATCATCTCATGTTTCAGAGTAAAACCTTAAAAACAACACAAGTTTCCCTTCCCCCTTTGCATTATTGTCCGGTCTATACAAATGTCTATACAAATGTCTATACAAATGTCTATATGTCTTTACAAATGTCTATATGTCTATACAAATGTCTATATGTCGATGCAAATGTGTATTGATATTAACTGGATGTATGTTTTTGGGAGTGCATTTCACGTTTGTACAATGTACAAACTCATTTTAATGAATATTTATGACCTAATCGCAGAAAAGACAACCATTATATTTCAGGTATAGAATTCTTTCTTGTAGCAGGGAGTAAATTATAATCATACATTTTCAACTTCACATTTGATCCCAGAGAAGTCGTGTCTCTCCACCAAGACATTGTTTTATGCTCAGCTCAGATATGGTTTGAAAAAGGTGAGATTTAGTTTGGTCTTAGTTCTAGTTTTAACCTTGTTGGATGAAATAACCTGTAATCCACCTGTGAGTTTGCTTTGCTGAAGAACAGTCATTTTAAATCACTACATTACACAACAATAACATTATCCTGTGTAGTCGCTTTTATGGGAACATGTTGTGGTCCTGTTCTCGACCCTGTGTTGTATGGATTTAAACACATTTACAGATGGCCAGCTCAAAATGGAGTGGGAAAGAAGAAAAAACTTGTAGACTCCTTCCCCATGAACGTAATTCTAACAACTGCAATGATTTAGTTATTTATAGTTGAATAAACACAGGTCTTAATGAGTCTAAGTCGTGTTCAGAGTCTGAGTTTTGTGCCCAAATATTCTGAAACGTCTATTTTTAGCCTTTTCTGTGAACTAATTCCTATAGATTTATTTCTGCCAAAACTCTTTGATATATTTTTTTTAGAAAGGCTCCAAGTTTGATCTAAAAATATACAGTTTAATATGTTTTGACTTTGAGACTTTCACTAAAGCTCTCTGAAGAACGCTTTGATCAGACATCTATCAATCTCTCATCTTTCTATTCTTTTACCCATTGTACTTTTCCATTGTGTATGTCCCATGGTGAGTGTGTGTTTTGTGGTTGCAGATTGCTCCGTGGCCATTCTCTTTGACCTGGTTCAAACCAAAACAAGTGTCGCTCGCCGAAAAGACCTCGACAAACACAAGAGGTATGAAATACTCACCGCATTTAGTTCTGTCTTTTCTATAAGTCGCAGGTGTCAAAGTCACTGCCCGGGTGCCAGATCCAACCTGCGAATTAAGGATCTTGGCCCCTGGATAATGTTTGATTAGTGTTAGAAAATATATTGTTATGTAATGTTCAGGACACAGAAGCTTAGTGTGTAGAGCAGAGGCCTTTGAGCCTGAAGGTCGTGGGTTTGAGTCCACCAAGAGACCTTCTCCAACGAATCCCACTGATGTCTGTTGTCGTTGTGTCCTTGGGCAAGACACTTAACCCCACTTTGCCTGAAGCCCCCATTGAAAGACCAAGGCTCCTGTGGACTCAGCACCTGCAGGAGGATCAGTGAGGGGCTGATCCCCCGACCGGAAATGGATTAAGGGGAAGAAGATGGATGGCTGGACGTTCAGGACATGTGTTTTCTCTTTGAAAGAAGTTTGTATTTCTCTATGAGCTGTAAGAAAATGTTCTCATGACAGAGACACAAAATTATTGGATTAATAATTGAATAATTAATTAAAATATGGTCCAATGTGTTAGATAGATACATACAGTAGATAGATACATAGATGCATAGATAGATAGATAGATACTTTATTGACTCCCGTTCGAGAAATTCAGGTGTCCAGCAGCAGAAGACTGGTTTGTTGTACAGTCTGACAGCCGCAGGAACAAAGGATCTCTTTGTTCTTTAGCATCTTTCTAATGTGTTTTCATAAACCAGTCTCTCTCGGGTTGTAGCAACTTTGTCTTTTTGGCCTCTGATGTATTTGACTCTGACATCCCTGTTTTAAAGTAAAGAGTAAAAAGTGTTCAGAAACTCGTCACGGTGAAGAATCGGATTACTATAAAGGTATTAGGAAAGTGAGGAATGAGTTTGGATTATTGCAAGAGGTCTTAAATCAGCGCAATGTGTAAAATAAACAAATTAGCTTGATTAGTCGGAGCTTTAATTAAGATGCATTTCTTGGGGCTAGTTGTGCTTTGAACAAATAAATAACAACAACGAATTAGTCTTGTTTACCACTTTACCATTTGTACATTATTCTCTCCAAACTCTGCGCTGCTGTTGTAATCTGGGTCAGATTAACGAGCGCCGTCTGCTAATCTGTGTCGTTAGCGGTTGGACCACATACAAAGTGCTATTGCTTGCATTACAAGGCGACAGTAGCTCAGTTGGTAGAGCATTGGCCTTTGAACCAGAGGGTCGTGGGTTTGAGCCCGACTTTCACCATCAACTCCCACTGTCTGCTGTCGTTGTGTCCTTTGGCAAGACACCTCTGGGAACACCAGCCACAGTGGGGCGGCTGTAAAGTGCCAATCTGCTGTTGTGTCCTTGGGCATGACACTTCCCCCACATTAGAATGAGTCTGGTGTGTGTGTGAATGGTTGGTGGTGGTGGGAGGGGCCGATGGCACAGACTGGTTGCCTCGCTTCTGTCAGTGTGCCCCAGGGCAGCTGTGGCTACTGTAGTTTATCACCACCGTGTTTGGAGTGAATGGATAATGACACATGTGAAGCATCTTTGAGTGTCCAGAAAAGTGCTTTATAAAACCGATGCATTATTATTATTGTTATAGACCAGGAGTGTCAAACCCATTTTGGTCACGGGCCGAATAAAAAGACTAGGAACTGGTCAGGGGCTGAAGAATAGACGACATTTCCCTTATAATTTATTATTACATTATGGAGGTATAAGTTGACATTTTTCTAAAAACAAAACGAGTTAACGGTTTAGATTTAATCAAAACTGGACCAAATAGAGAGAATAGACTATGTAAAACATGGTTTAGTAAACACATAACCATCAATGCTGCAAGTTATAAATAACGATTATTATTATTATAGGGGCCAGTAAGAATTGTGTTGAGGGCTGGATTTGGCCCACGAGCCTGAGTTTGACATACCTGCTATAGTCTGTTTACAAGGATGGCCATTAAGAAAGTGCATTGTTTTGCTCCTACTCACTTTGGCTTTCATAAAATGTCTAAACGTATTTGACTCCACATTTTAGCCGTAGACGGTCTGTGTTTCCACATGTAGCATATATGGGTTATATGCTTATGTATCTTTATGGTACTCACAGAAACAAAACTAATCTTAGGCTAGAACCAGAAGTTAGGAACGTCTCACAAGAGAGAGAGGTGTTTAAAGAGACAGTGATGCGGTGCAAAGATGTGAATTATATTGAGGGAAAATATATACAAAAGACTGGGGATATATATACACAAATATACAATAGATATATACAATATACACAATATGTACAATTAATGTTAGAGTGTAAAGTTGAGTCCATATAACCAGCGTGTTGCTGTAATCAAATGTCTTTAAAGGTCCACTTTGTGATGGGTGGAGGTGTTGTGTGGGTGAGCAAAAGGCAGCTCTCCTCCTACCGCACCGTGGGACAGTCTGGGTCTAGGCTTTGGGCCTGGGGCAGCTCTCCTCCTACCGCACCGTGGGACAGTCTGGGTCTAGGCTTTGGGCCTGGGGCAGCTCGCCTCCTACCGCACTGTGGGACAGTCTGGGTCTAGGCTTTGGGCCTGGGGCAGCTCGCCTCCTACCGCACTGTGGGACAGTCTGGGTCTAGGCTTTGGGCCTGGGGCAGCTCGCCTCCTACCGCACTGTGGGACAGTCTGGGTCTAGGCTTTGGGCCTGGGGCAGCTCTCCTCCTACCGCACTGTGGGACAGTCTGGGTCTAGGCTTTGAGCCTGGGGCAGCTCTCCTCCTACCGCACTGTGGGACAGTCTGGGTCTAGGCTTTGGGCCTGGGGCAGCTCTCCTCCTACCGCACTGTGGGACAGTCTGGGTCTAGGCTTTGGGCCTGGGGCAGCTCTCCTCCTACCGCACTGTGGGACAGTCTGGGTCTAGGCTTTGGGCCTGGGGCAGCTCTCCTCCTACCGCACTGTGGGACAGTCTGGGTCTAGGCTTTGGGCCTGGGGCAGCTCTCCTCCTACCGCACTGTGGGACAGTCTGGGTCTAGGCTTTGGGCCTGGGGCAGCTCGCCTCCTACCGCACTGTGGGACAGTCTGGGTCTAGGCTTTGGGCCTGGGGCAGCTCTCCTCCTACCGCACTGTGGGACAGTCTGGGTCTAGGCTTTGGGCCTGGGGCAGCTCTCCTCCTACCGCACTGTGGGACAGTCTGGGTCTAGGCTTTGGGCCTGGGGCAGCTCGACAAGGGGACCACTGGACTGGAGGGACCAATGGAAGGAATGGATGGATGGATAGAACCTGGCCTGTTACAAACAGGACCAGCATTAGTCACATTTCATATTTCATATTAGCAATAGGTCATTACAAAAACAAAGTCTCATATACATGTATATTAAATAATCAAGAGTACTCATCACAATGCACCATAAATAATAATGCACAGGTCACATTAGCTTATCTTGTGCACACAATCAAATATATCAATGCATTTAACATTTTGCTGTGGAGCACATTAAAATACATCAATCCACATTATCACAATCATACTACTAGGCCTAGGCACCGACACAGAAAAACATACATCAAAGAGAAAAGTCAATAAAGCAGCGGAGACTAGCGCTAGCTACTAGCTCCGTGCAGAATCAAACAATCTGACTCACCAGTTCCTCTGTAGAACAGTGCAAACGGTGTGACAACCGCGTCAAAGATAGTGTAGGAGGCGCCTGTAGTGAAAGAATATCAGTTACAATCCGTAGATTATGAAACGAAGTTAGATCGCGGACAATTACCTGCAGCCTGCTCGGATCCCAACTTTCCCCACAGCAACACACCCGACTGTGGACAGAGCGCGCTTATTTGAGGAAATGTTGCCATGGGGACCGTGGGAACTCTCGCTCGAACTCACGTCGGAGCATACAACTACCGCGAGACTACAAGAGACGGACTTAAAATAATAACTGGGGAGGTGCGGAGAACGATAAAAATGACCCGAGTTACACACAGCTCCACATGATCCTTGTTTTTGTATTTTGATAACAACGCCCGATTGGATAGTTTTATCCCCAGAATTGGCTTTGGATTACGAAAAGCAGGAATGAGCCTCGCTTCTGATTGGCTCTTTGGTTGTTATGAAGTTTCTATAAGGGATTATGGCTCAGGATTCCTGTCTGTACAAGCTAGCTGTAACCGGCACCGTGACGTGGCTAGACGGGTAACAGCTAAGCTAGTAACAGCTAGGCTAGTAACAGCTATGCTAGCTAGTAGGTTACTTCAAAAGTAGAACTCCCTGGAACTACATGAAAACTGAACAAAGAACAGTTTGTGAGTGACCCAAATATAAACTTAACCTAAATCCACCAGATCCTCTGCAAATGTTCTTAAAATGTTCTACTAATGTTAATGTTACCGCGATTGCTTTTTGGCGCATTAAAGAGTATTTTTGTCATGAAAACGTGAACAGATAATTCTGAAAACCTCTGTGTGTTAATAATGTTTATGTTTAATGTACAGTATTCTCCCATTAACATTTAAATGTTTATTGATTGTTTTTCGTGTTATTGAGCGTGGCTAGCTCCGATAGCTTCTCTCAGAGACAGTAGTGTCGAACTACTGTCGGAGTAATCTACACCTGAAGTACAAGAGTGCGATGGAGCGTTCCACTGCTGCTGTGAGCAGCCGAATAACAAATGAGGATTAAATATTCAAATATGTAAATTAATAATCTCTCTTCCGCACGTCTTGACCTGGCGCATGCACGGAAAAGAAGGCGCGGCTTCAAGACCAATCAGAAAAGATCGGATTTTTTTTTAAATCATGTACCTCTGTCTTTTTTGTGAGTCCAGAAAATCACTTTAACAAGAAGAGGAAGTTTTAGGAAATCCAGATCATTTAGATTTGAATAGGCCAAAGGATGTTATGTTTGTGGGTAACTTATCCTCACTGTTTCTTCAAATAAGTCAAACCTATTGAATCAAGTGCCTTGGAGTTCGGGTTACCCTAACCCACTCTCCTATTGACCGCCTGCTTTTATAAAATATGATTAATACCTCATGACCCACGCTTTTCTCCTGAGTTCATTATCTCTTCCAGGAAAAAAAATACAGATGTGTTAGTTTTCTCCGAAGGCTTCAATAGAGGAGAAAAACACGGAATAATTACTCTTTTTAAAACTTGAAGGTTTTAAAAAGAGGAGAATGAACAACCATGTTTGCACATGTCATCTATTCAACTCAAGAAAAGTATCATTTAATTCACTGACAGCAGGAAGTCAAAGTCAAATACATCAGAGGCCAAAAGACTTTATCCAAGCCGAAGGTCGGACTGGTCCAATGTTTGTTAAAACACAGGGGACTGTATTTTGTTTAAAGATTAAATATAATGAAATATTCAATATTTTTGTGGCTCTGTACATTTCAAGAGAAACATTTTCCAAAAAACCTCAAAAACAAACTTCCTTCAAAAAGAAAACACACGTCCTGAACGATCAATGAATGATCTAATGTTTTCTTATGTCTCTCTGCGGCCGGTTTTAATACTAACCAAATACCATCTCAGGGGCTGAGATTATTCATTTGTGGACCCGATCTGGACCCCGGGCCTAGACTTTGACACCCATGGTCCAGACGATTGTTTTTCATTATTCCAGTTTTCTCTTTGAACACGCTTTGATATGTTTGAAGGATTGAAAGATCCTAGTCTGGTCTTACCATGTGTAAACTCTGGTCCATGGTCATTTCCTACATGTACGTCTGGTCTTACCATGTGTAAACTCTGGTCCATGATCATTTCCTACATGTACGTCTGGTCTTACCATGTGTAAACTCTGGTCCATGATCATTTCCTACATGTACGTCTGGTCTTACCATGTGTAAACTCTGGTCCATGATCATTTCCTACATGTACGTCTGGTCTTACCATGTGTAAACTCTGGTCCATGATCATCTCCTACATGTACGTCTGGTCTTACCATGTGTAAACTCTGGTCCATGATCATTTCCTACATGTACGTCTGGTCTTACCATGTATAAACTCTGGTCTTACCATGTGTAAACTCTGGTCCATGGTCATTTCCTACATGTACGTCTGGTCTTACCATGTGTAAACTCTGGTCTTACCATGTGTAAACTCTGGTCCATGGTCATTTCCTACATGTACGTCTGGTCTTACCATGTGTAAACTCTGGTCCATGGTCATTTCCTACATGTACGTCTGGTCTTACCATGTGTAAACTCTGGTCTTACCATGTGTAAACTCTGGTCCATGGTCATCTCCTACATGTACGTCTGGTCTTACCATGTGTAAACTCTGGTCTTACCATGTGTAAACTCTGGTCCATGGTCATCTCCTACATGTACGTCTGGTCTTACCATGTGTAAACTCTCGTCTTACCATGTGTAAACTCTGGTCCATGGTCATCTCCTACATGAACGTCTGGTCTTACCATGTGTAAACTCTGGACCATGATCATTTCCTACATGTACGTCTGGTCTTACCATGTGTAAACTCTCGTCCATGATCATTTCCTACATGTACGTCTGGTCTTACCATGTGTAAACTCTGGTCCATGATCATTTCCTACATGTACGTCTGGTCTTACCATGTGTAAACTCTGGTCCATGATCATTTCCTACATGTACGTCTGGTCTTACCATGTGTAAACTCTGGTCTTACCATGTGTAAACTCTGGTCCATGGTCATCTCCTACATGTACGTCTGGTCTTACCATGTGTAAACTCTGGTCCATGGTCATTTCCTACATGTACGTCTGGTCTTACCATGTGTAAACTCTGGTCCATGGTCATCTCCTACATGTACGTCTGGTCTTACCATGTGTAAACTCTGGTCCATGGTCATCTCCTACATGTACGTCTGGTCTTACCATGTGTAAACTCTGGTCTTACCATGTGTAAACTCTGGTCCATGGTCATCTCCTACATGTACGTCTGGTCTTACCATGTGTAAACTCTGGTCTTACCATGTGTAAACTCTGGTCTTACCATGTGTAAACTCTGGTCTTACCATGTGTAAACTCTGGTCTTACCATGTGTAAACTCTGGTCCATGATCATTTCATGACTTCACGACTCCCACTGATGACTGCTGCCGTTGTGTCCTTGGGCAAGACACTTAACCCCACTTTGCCTGAAGCCCCCGCTGACAGATCTCAGCTCCTGTGGACTCACCACCTGCAGGAGGATCAATGAGGGGCTGGTGCTCTGTGACTGCCACCCCCCCACCAAGGAAATGGATTAATGTGAAGAAAACGGATGGATGGATGGCATTGCTGCAAAGATGTTGTGGCTCTACTCCCCACTGGCTTTGTTAGTGACAAAGGAGATGGCTAAAGCTAGGCTAAATGCTAGCTTTAGCCTGAGTTTACATACGTCACAGTAAACTCAGATCCAATGGTTTCAATCTGCAAAAGGAGTTAGCCCCTCCCACCTGTTAACGGAGTCAATGGAGTAAATCCAGACCTTTTTAGTATGAAATGAAATGAGTACAATGGTGTGGTAAGACCAGGCTAGAAAGATGTCCCATATCCCCTTTTTAAAACATCCTGCACTACCCCTGGAGTTGGCCTGCTGAACAGTTTGGCCGCGCAGGAGTCACACGGGTCGGTTCCCCGGGGGGTTTAGAGCAGATGTTGTTTGACCTGAGTGTGTTCCAGGCTCTGTGCTGTGGAGTCTCCCCTGAACACGGCTCTGCTGCTCAGTGCGGCTGGAGTTGGCTGTATCGCCCTCAACCAGTGGCACAGCAGCTTTCAACTCAACACCGCAAACACGACTGCTGTTCTGGACGGTAAGTGCAGATTCAATTTATTTATGTGTAGCACTAAATCACAGCAGTTAGTCGAGGACAAGAGATCAAGAGAATCAAACAGGAAATGTAATAAGGAACACAATATGCTAACACGGTGGCTGAGTGGATAGCACTCTCGCCTCTCAGCAAGAAGGTCCTGGGTTCAAATCCTGGTTGGACCAAGGCCTTTCTGAGTGGAGTTTGCATGTTCTCCCCGTGTCTGCGTAGGTTTCCTCCGGGTGCTCCGGTTTCCCCTACCACTAAAAATATGTACAATAGGTCTGGCATGCGCCTCCTGTACTGGCCCCGCTCCCAAAAATAACAATTGTAAACCGCTTTGAGACTCCGATGTGCAGTGAAAAGGCGGTATATAAATAAATAAAGATTACACAATGATAAGGAACACAATGTTAATAAATGTCCTGGATTATCACTGTCCACATCTTCTGCTGAGTCTGAGTCTGAGTCTGATCATAATTCACAGGTCACTTTCCTTGTTTTATTATCCCACCCTTACTAGAATAGATCCATTCATGTTAACTGCATTATCTATTATCATGAATAATAGATCCTGTTGTACATCCAGGACTTAGGTTGTAGACCCAGGACTGAGGCTGTAGACCCAGGACTGAGGCTGTACATCCAGGACTGAGGCTGTAGATCCAGGACTTAGGTTGTAGATCCAGGACTGAGGCTGTAGACCCAGGACTGAGGCTGTACATCCAGGACTGAGGCTGTAGACCCAGGACTGAGGCTGTAGACCCAGGACTGAGGCTGTAGACCCAGGACTGAGGCTGTAGACCCAGGACTGAGGCTGTAGATCCAGGACTGAGGCTGTAGACCCAGGACTGAGGCTGTAGACCCAGGACTGAGGCTGTAGATCCAGAACTGAGGCTGTAGACCCAGGACTGAGGCTGTAGACCCAGGACTGAGGCTGTAGACCCAGGACTGAGGCTGTAGACCCAGGACTGAGGCTGTAGACCCAGGACTGAGGCAGTAGACCCAGGACTGAGGCTGTAGACCCAGGACTGAGGCTGTAGACCCAGGACTGAGGCTGTAGACCCAGGACTGAGGCTATAGACCCAGGACTGAGGCTGTAGACCCAGGACTGAGGCTGTAGATCCAGGACTGAGGCTGTAGATCCAGGACTGAGGCTGTAGACCCAGGACTGAGGCTGTAGACCCAGGAATGAGGCTGTAGATCCAGGACTGAGGCTGTAGACCCAGGACTGAGGCTGTAGACCCAGGAATGAGGCTGTAGACCCAGGACTGAGGCTGTAGACCCAGGACTGAGGCTGTAGACCCAGGACTGAGGCTGTAGACCCAGGACTGAGGCTGTAGACCCAGGAATGAGGCTGTAGACCCAGGACTGAGGCTGTAGACCCAGGACTGAGGCTGTAGATCCAGGACTGAGGCTGTAGACCCAGGACTGAGGCTGTAGATCCAGGACTGAGGCTGTAGATCCAGGACTGAGGCTGTAGACCCAGGACTGAGGCTGTAGACCCAGGAATGAGGCTGTAGACCCAGGACTGAGGCTGTAGACCCAGGACTGAGGCTGTAGATCCAGGACTGAGGCTGTAGACCCAGGACTGAGGCTGTAGACCCAGGAATGAGGCTGTAGACCCAGGACTGAGGCTGTAGACCCAGGACTGAGGCTGTAGATCCAGGACTGAGGCTGTAGACCCAGGACTGAGGCTGTAGACCCAGGACTGAGGCTGTAGATCCAGGACTGAGGCTGTAGATCCAGGACTGAGGCTGTAGATCAGGGGTGGCCAACCAGTCAGAGACTAAGAGACATTTTTTTACTGTGTTACAGCAAAGAGCCACATCATACAAATGTGCACTACATAAACATCACCCCAACCCTTACACACGTACGCACACGAGCAGACACACACGCGCACACATGCAATCTGTCTGAGCAGAGAGAGGTCTGCTCTGCTCAGACAGATGTATTGTAAATGTCACCAACATGATAATGACAGAAATGGACTCGTGCAGCACTAAAGGACTGGACTCTCCCTGGTGCAGCACTAAAGGACTGGACTCTCCCTGGTACAGCACTAAAGGACTGGACTCTCCCTGGTACAGCACTAAAGGACTGGACTCTCCCTGGTGCAGCACTAAAGGACTGGACTCTCCCTGGTACAGCACTAAAGGACTGGACTCTCCCTGGTACAGCACTAAAGGACTGGACTCCGTACAGCACTAAAGGACTGGACTCTCCCTGGTACAGTTCTAAAGGACTGGACTCTCCCTGGTACAGTTCTAAAGGACTGGACTCTCCCTGGTACAGTTCTAAAGGACTGGACTCTCCCTGGTACAGTTCTAAAGGACTGGACTCTCCCTGGTGCAGTTCTAAAGGACTGGACTCTCCCTGGTGCAGCACTAAAGGACTGGACTCTCTCTGGTGCAGCACTAAAGGACTGGACTCTCCCTGGTACAGCACTAAAGGACTGGACTCTCCCTGGTGCAGCACTAAAGGACTGGACTCTCCCTGGTACAGTTCTAAAGGACTGGACTCTCCCTGGTACAGTTCTAAAGGACTGGACTCTCCCTGGTACAGTTCTAAAGGACTGGACTCTCCCTGGTACAGCACTAAAGGACTGGACTCTCCCTGGTACAGTTCTAAAGGGCTGGACTCTCCCTGGTACAGTTCTAAAGGGCTGGACTCTCCCTGGTACAGTTCTAAAGGACTGGACTCTCCCTGGTGCAGCACTAAAGGACTGGACTCTCCCTGGTACAGCACTAAAGGACTGGACTCTCCCTGGTACAGTTCTAAAGGGCTGGACTCTCCCTGGTACAGTTCTAAAGGACTGGACTCTCCCTGGTACAGCTCTAAAGGACTGGACTCTCCCTGGTACAGCACTAAAGGACTGGACTCTCCCTGGTGCAGCACTAAAGGACTGGACTCTCTCTGGTGCAGCACTAAAGGACTGGACTCTCCCTGGTACAGTTCTAAAGGACTGGACTCTCCCTGGTACAGCACTAAAGGACTGGACTCTCCCTGGTACAGTTCTAAAGGACTGGACTCTCCCTGGTACAGCACTAAAGGACTGGACTCTCCCTGGTGCAGCACTAAAGGACTGGACTCTCCCTGGTACAGTTCTAAAGGACTGGACTCTCCCTGGTACAGTTCTAAAGGACTGGACTCTCCCTGGTACAGTTCTAAAGGACTGGACTCTCCCTGGTACAGCACTAAAGGACTGGACTCTCCCTGGTACAGCTCTAAAGGGCTGGACTCTCCCTGGTACAGTTCTAAAGGGCTGGACTCTCCCTGGTACAGTTCTAAAGGGCTGGACTCTCCCTGGTACAGTTCTAAAGGACTGGACTCTCCCTGGTACAGCACTAAAGGACTGTAGTAGTAGTAGTAGTAGTAATCTTTATTTATATACCGCCTTTTCACTGCACTGGACTCTCCCTGGTACAGCACTAAAGGACTGGACTCTCCCTGGTACAGTTCTAAAGGGCTGGACTCTCCCTGGTACAGTTCTAAAGGACTGGACTCTCCCTGGTACAGCTCTAAAGGACTGGACTCTCCCTGGTACAGCACTAAAGGACTGGACTCTCCCTGGTGCAGTTCTAAAGGACTGGACTCTCCCTGGTACAGCACTAAAGGACTGGACTCTCCCTGGTACAGTTCTAAAGGACTGGACTCTCCCTGGTACAGTTCTAAAGGACTGGACTCTCCCTGGTACAGTTCTAAAGGACTGGACTCTCCCTGGTACAGTTCTAAAGGACTGGACTCTCCCTGGTGCAGTTCTAAAGGACTGGACTCTCCCTGGTGCAGCACTAAAGGACTGGACTCTCTCTGGTGCAGCACTAAAGGACTGGACTCTCCCTGGTACAGCACTAAAGGACTGGACTCTCCCTGGTGCAGCACTAAAGGACTGGACTCTCCCTGGTACAGTTCTAAAGGACTGGACTCTCCCTGGTACAGTTCTAAAGGACTGGACTCTCCCTGGTACAGCACTAAAGGACTGGACTCTCCCTGGTACAGTTCTAAAGGGCTGGACTCTCCCTGGTACAGTTCTAAAGGGCTGGACTCTCCCTGGTACAGTTCTAAAGGACTGGACTCTCCCTGGTGCAGCACTAAAGGACTGGACTCTCCCTGGTACAGCACTAAAGGACTGGACTCTCCCTGGTACAGTTCTAAAGGGCTGGACTCTCCCTGGTACAGCACTAAAGGACTGGACTCTCCCTGGTGCAGCACTAAAGGACTGGACTCTCCCTGGTACAGCACTAAAGGACTGGACTCTCCCTGGTACAGCACTAAAGGACTGGACTCTCCCTGGTACAGCACTAAAGGACTGGACTCTCCCTGGTGCAGCACTAAAGGACTGGACTCTCCCTGGTACAGCACTAAAGGACTGGACTCTCCCTGGTACAGCACTAAAGGACTGGACTCTCCCTGGTACAGCACTAAAGGGCTGGACTCTCCCTGGTACAGTTCTAAAGGACTGGACTCTCCCTGGTACAGCACTAAAGGACTGGACTCTCCCTGGTGCAGCACTAAAGGACTGGACTCTCCCTGGTACAGCACTAAAGGACTGGACTCTCCCTGGTACAGTTCTAAAGGACTGGACTCTCCCTGGTACAGTTCTAAAGGACTGGACTCTCCCTGGTACAGCACTAAAGGACTGGACTCTCCCTGGTACAGCACTAAAGGACTGGACTCTCCCTGGTACAGCACTAAAGGACTGGACTCTCCCTGGTACAGTTCTAAAGGACTGGACTCTCCCTGGTACAGCACTAAAGGACTGGACTCTCCCTGGTGCAGCACTAAAGGACTGGACTCTCCCTGGTACAGCACTAAAGGACTGGACTCTCCCTGGTACAGCACTAAAGGACTGGACTCTCCCTGGTACAGTTCTAAAGGACTGGACTCTCCCTGGTACAGCACTAAAGGACTGGACTCTCCCTGGTACAGTTCTAAAGGACTGGACTCTCCCTGGTACAGTTCTAAAGGACTGGACTCTCCCTGGTGCAGCACTAAAGGACTGGACTCTCCCTGGTACAGCACTAAAGGACTGGACTCTCCCTGGTACAGCACTAAAGGACTGGACTCTCCCTGGTACAGCACTAAAGGACTGGACTCTCCCTGGTACAGCACTAAAGGACTGGACTCTCCCTGGTACAGCACTAAAGGGCTGGACTCTCCCTGGTACAGTTCTAAAGGACTGGACTCTCCCTGGTACAGCACTAAAGGACTGGACTCTCCCTGGTGCAGCACTAAAGGACTGGACTCTCCCTGGTACAGCACTAAAGGGCTGGACTCTCCCTGGTACAGTTCTAAAGGACTGGACTCTCCCTGGTACAGCACTAAAGGACTGGACTCTCCCTGGTGCAGCACTAAAGGACTGGACTCTCCCTGGTACAGCACTAAAGGACTGGACTCTCCCTGGTACAGCACTAAAGGACTGGACTCTCCCTGGTACAGCACTAAAGGGCTGGACTCTCCCTGGTACAGTTCTAAAGGACTGGACTCTCCCTGGTACAGCACTAAAGGACTGGACTCTCCCTGGTGCAGCACTAAAGGACTGGACTCTCCCTGGTACAGCACTAAAGGACTGGACTCTCCCTGGTACAGCACTAAAGAACTGGACTCTCCCTGGTACAGCACTAAAGGACTGGACTCTCCCTGGTACAGCACTAAAGGACTGGACTCTCCCTGGTACAGCACTAAAGGACTGGACTCTCCCTGGTACAGCACTAAAGGACTGGACTCTCCCTGGTACAGTTCTAAAGGACTGGACTCTCCCTGGTGCAGCACTAAAGGACTGGACTCTCCCTGGTACAGTTCTAAAGGACTGGACTCTCCCTGGTACAGCACTAAAGGACTGGACTCTCCCTGGTACAGCACTAAAGGACTGGACTCTCCCTGGTACAGCACTAAAGGGCTGGACTCTCCCTGGTACAGTTCTAAAGGACTGGACTCTCCCTGGTACAGCACTAAAGGACTGGACTCTCCCTGGTACAGCACTAAAGGACTGGACTCTCCCTGGTACAGCACTAAAGGACTGGACTCTCCCTGGTACAGCACTAAAGGACTGGACTCTCCCTGGTGCAGCACTAAAGGACTGGACTCTCCCTGGTACAGTTCTAAAGGACTGGACTCTCCCTGGTACAGCACTAAAGGACTGGACTCTCCCTGGTACAGCACTAAAGGACTGGACTCTCCCTGGTACAGCACTAAAGGGCTGGACTCTCCCTGGTACAGTTCTAAAGGACTGGACTCTCCCTGGTACAGCACTAAAGGACTGGACTCTCCCTGGTACAGTTCTAAAGGACTGGACTCTCCCTGGTACAGCTCTAAAGGACTGGACTCTCCCTGGTACAGCACTAAAGGACTGGACTCTCCCTGGTACAGTTCTAAAGGACTGGACTCTCCCTGGTACAGCTCTAAAGGACTGGACTCTCCCTGGTACAGCACTAAAGGACTGGACTCTCCCTGGTACAGTTCTAAAGGACTGGACTCTCCCTGGTACAGCTCTAAAGGACTGGACTCTCCCTGGTACAGCACTAAAGGACTGGACTCTCCCTGGTACAGCACTAAAGGACTGGACTCTCCCTGGTACAGCACTAAAGGACTGGACTCTCCCTGGTACAGCACTAAAGGACTGGACTCTCCCTGGTACAGCACTAAAGGACTGGACTCTCCCTGGTACAGCACTAAAGGACTGGACTCTCCCTGGTACAGCACTAAAGGACTGGACTCTCCCTGGTGCAGCACTAAAGGACTGGACTCTCCCTGGTTTGTGGGCGCTTCCACCGCTCTCTTCTACCGCTCCACGGTACTTTTTATTAATGGTCTGGCCCTGGTTCTAACCGGGCGAGTCGATACCAGAACAATCTCACGTCATCGAACATCAATCATGATTCCGAAATGAATGCTTTCAATCTCTAACCAAGAAGAACCCAGTGTTCAGCAGAAACACAACTGTCTTTATCGAACCATGATTCTCTCTGACTGTGTTTAATAAAAGATATAGATGTGACACATAACACCAACACCACTTTAGCTGATTTAGAACCACAGACACATGTTCAGTATAAGACCAGATACTTTTGCATTTGATTGAAGACAGACACTCACCAGGCAGAGTTGGCTTATCTCCTGGTGTAACTGGTGTTAGCTGGTGTTAGCATGTTAGCTGGTGTTAGCCGGTGTTAGCTGGTGTTAGCATGTTAGCCGGTGTTAGCCGGTGTTAGCCGGTGTTAGCTGGTGTTAGCATGTTAGCCGGTGTTAGCATGTTAGCCGATGTTAGCCGATGTCCGTAAATGTAATCCATTTGGTCAAACCACCTCCAGACTTTTCGGGTCTACCTCTACTTCTGCTGCTGCGATCTTTCATTTCTTGGTTGTCACTTTTAAGCTTTTTAACTTTTCTCTGCATTGTCATGTTTGTAGGAATCATTCTGCTCCGTCCTTAGTGCTAGCTCCACAAACACCTTCTGGTTTCTGGTGGAACCATCGAGCTCAGGCTGGTGTCCTCTCCTCAAACTGAGGAAGGTGTTGCCCTCATCCAGCGACCAAGGAACTGTTTTCCATACGGACGTCATGGGTCGTGGCAACCTGTTGTTTGTTATGATATTTGCAACAGCTGAGGCAGCAGCTGCAGAGTGACTGACAGCGCATCTGACCAATCAGAATAGACGTTCGCCGACGTCATATTGTTTTGGCGGCCCGGCTAGTGGAGTGAAGTCGGCCTTTACTATGGGTCAGAACTACATAGGGAATGAATGGCAGCGCCACCACCGAGGCGTTTTTGACGCTTGTCGTGTGAAAGCCCGAGAGCCGCACGGAACCAGCCAAAGAGCCGCGGGTTGGCCACCCCTGCTGTAGATCCAGGACTCAGGCTGTAGGACTGAGACTGTGCAGTGCAGGACAAAGGGGGCCCCCAGGCGAGGAGGGGGGTGTAGTATCAGCCAGTCAGGAAATAACTGCAGAATATAAATAAAGAGCACTTTCAAAAACAATAAGATCCACATTCTCTCCTCCTCCAGACCGGGACCGTGATTTAAAGCAGCAATATGTACGATTTTCATGTCAATTCATCATCAAAGGACCCTAATCTGTCATAATTATAGTAATATTAATAATAATAATGATAACAATCATCATCATCATTTGGTGCTTAGACCCCGGCAGAGCTCTGATTAGTGTCAGAACTAAACATGGGGAGGCTGCTTTTCAGATTCATGCTGCTAAAATCTGGAACAGTCTTCCTGAAGATGTGAGACAGGCCTCCTCTCTGACAATGTTTAAAACCAGGTTAAAGACAGTTCTGTTTAGCTGTGCTACAACTGAGGGATTTTATATTTTTATCTTTCTTTTTAATGGTCTGTGATTATTTATAATTTTAATGCTTTCTTATTTTGTTCAGCACTTTGAGTTGCCTTGTTTATGAATTGTGCTATACGAATAAACTTGCCTTGCCTTGCCTTGATTATGCAGAGGGGGAAAGATGAAATCCCCCGGGGTCTAGACCCTGGTGGTGGGAGCTGGGAGATGGATTATTGAGGGTTGTGGCGTGAGTGAAGCTGCTGCTTAGATGGAGCTTCGTCGTGATATGATTCTTGATGTGGGCAGTGTCTTATAGCTGCCAGGTGGGGGCAGTGTGGAGCTGCAGATGAGTGTGATTGACAGATGCCGTTGCCGTTGCGACAGTGGGCGACGCACTTATGAGCTTAGTTCTTCCATTTTTCCAGTCTGAACTTCTGCTTTAGCTTCATTAATGTGGTAATAACTATTAGCAATGACCATATGAAGAAAAACATTGAAACGCCCGCCTACCCCTCGTTCTACAGTCTGAGTCCTGGATCTACAGCCTCAGTCCTCGTTCTACAGTCTGAGTCCTGGATCTACAGCCTCAGTCCTCGTTCTACAGTCTGAGTCCTGGATCTACAGCCTCAGTCCTCGTTCTACAGTCTGAGTCCTGGATCTACAGCCTCAGTCCTCGTTCTACAGTCTGAGTCCTGGATCTACAGCCTCAGTCCTCGTTCTACAGTCTGAGTCCTGGATCTACAGCCTCAGTCCTCGTTCTACAGTCTGAGTCCTGGATCTACAGCCTCAGTCCTCGTTCTACAGTCTGAGTCCTGGATCTACAGCCTCAGTCCTCGTTCTACAGTCTGAGTCCTGGATCTACAGCCCATCCGTTCGTGTGGAGCGGATCCTCTCTCAATGTGGCTCTCCCCGAGGTTTCTCACTTGTCTCCCACTGGTCAGGACGCTCTACATTCTACACCATGTATGGACATTGGTCTCTCCCTGTGGTTCAATTCCATGTTTCTCTATATGTTTTGTGTCTTATCTGTTGATTCTCTGACGGGCGTTGGTGATTTTGGTTTTGTTAAGTCCTCTGAGTAACTACTGTTGTGATTCAGGACAATACAAGAATAAGCTGCAAATCAAGTAAAGTAATTTCACCCATGAGCGTAAACCACTGAAGGATTAGATCACAGGATTTCTCCGTGTGCTGCAGGTCTCCTCCGGGATAAGCAGACGTCAGGACAAGCCGTTCACTCGCTGAGGAAAGAGCCGACCCGCAGCCCACACTCTCCCCACGAGAAGATAAATACATCCGAAGGTGAGTTCTATATCAGGGTGTATTTCCTGATCCCACCGTCTCTGCTTCCACCTCTGCGCCTCCCCCAGTCTCACACCAAACCCTCCGATAAAGATTTCTGCTCTGTCGGACACAGAACGCTTTGTTTTAGCTCGAGTTAGTTCAACAGCCGCGCTTTAACACGTCCTTTTTGCAGATCTTGAGCCCAACCTGACACCGGACAGTTTCACCTGCGTCTTGTACGGTCTCCCAAACTTAATCGTCCTGTGAGGTCCACACCACAGGGATCGGTGTGGGTCTTTTTAAGATAACTGCAAGTTGAATTTTACATTGTTTTGACTGTAAGTGTCTGTTTGATGACAATAAAGAGATCCTTTTAAGATTGAGATATTCTTTATTCATTCCACAGTGAAGACATTTCACAGAGAAATGTCAAACAATAAATGCAGTCATTCAGAATATGTTTTTCATTCATGTATTTATTAGTTTATTAGAATAGGGACGATACACATTCATCAACATTGCCGTAAATGTGTCAGTATTAGCTAACAACTGTATTAGCTTTCCAACTTTAGTCCCAGAGGCAAGGTGTACAATGCCATCAAAGTGCACTGCAAATATTACAATATAAAAGTAAATAGTTAAAACATGTCATCAAAACATATAAAAATCAAATAACACATCATGGGTGGTTACCATCTTGATTGTCCAATAAGCAGGTTTTTAACAAATGTTTAAAAGTCTTGAATGTGGTGCTCTTTTTTATATGGACTGGGATTGTGTTCCAGAACTGAACGGCGCTCACTGAGAAAGCTGATTGGCCAAAGGAACTTTTTCTCAGTGGGGCGACAAGATTATTAGAGGCAGCAGATCTGGTGTTTCTGCTGCTCTGATGGATATATTGGTATAGATGACATTTAGTCTTCAATCCACGCCTGCTGCCAGTCCTCTTCCTCCATGATGCTGAAGGCCCCAGACTCAGGGCTGCAGGTCTGGGTCTCGCTCTGGTCCAGATCTGGTCCGAACAGGGATTGACTGGAGGCCTGGCTGGCAGCTGCTAACATTTATACCAATATAACATGTTGTGTCTTTTTTAAACACAACCAAACAAATCCAAATATAATTAAGGCTAAACACAAGTTACACAACCATAAATAAATGAGACGGGAATAACACAGTCTGCTTTTTGCTGAGAGGAAGTCATTATCTAAATGTTTTGGCCTCTTCTAACCTCTTCCAGTGAGGACTCAATTCCACCCTTGTTTGCCTTAACCCTCTTTTCTCAACTTCAGAGGAAAAATCCACCCTTCTTCATTAAAATAAATTACACATGTTTAATTAACCCATTTTGAATCAGGCAATATTTATTCTCACGTTAATTAAAATTATAAATGTTTTGAAGCGACCCCGGGATCTTTCTGTTTAAGCTCATTTACTGTAGTTATAGACGTCACGCTCAGAGAAAACAATTGGATTGAAGTGTTTGGACTAGAAAAGGTTTCCTCGTCCTCAATTTGTACTGAGAGGATTTTAACACTGGTTGAGGTTTCCGGCAAAGTGGGGTTAAGTGTCTTGCTCATGGACACAACGACAGCAGACGTCAGTGGAAGCAATCTAATCTTGAAAAAAAGGTTCAGAATGAAACGGAGGAGGATTTACAGTTGAAATACATCTGGCTTCATTTACAAGTTGTAGCTTTGATGGAAGTTCAGACCTGCCCCTGACTCCTCTCTCTGCACAGTCACACAGTTAGTGCAGCAACCCTCCTCCTCCCTGTCACCTCCTCGTCAGTGGAGAATCATCATGGTATCAACTTGGCTCCCTTCAGCACCGGGGGTTGAGGCCGAGGTGGTTTTGCACAAACTCATGTCTGTAAAAGATGAGAGCCAAATCGAAATGAACATTGAATAGTAAGTAATCTTTATTTTAACAGCGCATTTTTACAGACTAAGGTCACCCAAAGTGGGGGCGGGTCCATGGATCTATGATAACACTGGGTAACAAAAAAATATTTTTTGAAAATAGTCCAGGGTTTTTCAGCTGAGACTAATGTTGATGCTCTGAGTCCGAAGATGACCTTGGTTTTGCTCAATGAGGTCAGGATTTTTTGCTACAGAAATATTTTTTTCAATCGATTTTGCGTAAAAAACTAATTTCTGCGGATCATCAGCTGAGAAACCCTGATGATTTCCTCAAGAAATAAAATTCAACGTATCCAAAGTCATTCAGTTTTTATTTACTCCATCAAATTTGATAATCAGAATTCATAATAACGTAGACGTACATAATCCATAACACTATGGCTGTATCTCAAAAAGTTGACCCGATAGAGCAACATGCATGTGATATTCGGACTCAGAACACCAACATTAGTCTGAATCAGTTGAGAAACCCCTGACCATTTTTTGGCTGTCAACTTGTGTAGAAACTGGATAGAGTGTTACTAGTTTATAGCTGTCCCACCAATGGCCACAGGGGGCGCTGTGGTACTGCAGACTAAATTCATGAGGGTTACCCAGAAGTCCCATAGAACTCAATGTAAATTAAAACAGCTCGACCTCAGCTGACAGAGAACCTGACAGAGAACCTGACACAGAACCTGACAGAGAACCTACAGCTTCCAGAAATATCGGATTTTGTGGGGATTTTAGTGTCCCTTCTCATCCTGAACTTGTTTCTTCTAAATCTTACGGTTTTCTTTAAATCCTCACTTTCCTGCCACAAACTCTGCTCCTTTCCTTCCCGCTCTGACTCCGCTATGCTGCTGCTCTGATCAGCTCTGATTGGTCAGAGCTCGGCCGAGCCCCTCTGTGCACGTGCATGAAAGCCACACACATGTATTTAGCGCAAAGCATCATGGGAGCTCGTCCACTGCACAGAACCGGGAGGACCGGACGATGCCCAAATATAGGCGAGTCCAGCTAATCTCCCGGTCTCCATGAAATCCCATGAACTACTGAGCACAAGCCATTCATTTGAACAGGGCGACATCTTGGATCACCGGGGCTTGGGCGGGTCCCAGCTCAAAAATATCCAAAATGATGTGCAACGCAATACCACCCCAGGCCTGTGGGGGTGGGGCCTGGGAAAAGAATTATTCAGTGCTAATGGATAGCATCTTCTTATCTCTTAAACGGCTTTACAGGATGGTTCTAAAGTGGCTCTTGGTCCAAAAGTAGCTCTGAGGGGAGTGTTTCTTTTGGACCAGTCTAGTTTAGTTGCTGTGGAATTTTGAATGCACTTGGTAAATGACTGGAGCTGGTGCAGCTAACACGTGCACAAATGCGTTTTTTCACATTTTCCAGCCCCCGCGGCCATTTTAAAACTGCCCATAGTCGGTGAAAGTGGTGACACATTAGATTAGAGAAAGCCGTGACTACATCTGTCTGATTCTTTGATCTGTGTTTGCAATTTCAACAGTTTTGTAAAGTCCCAGAAAACTACTGTTGGGATTTTAAATTGCATTGAAGCTGTTCCGGGAGAGCAGCGGCGACATTGAACAGTTTACTGTGTGAAGTTTTGAGGGCTGGTTGTGCTGTTCCTGGTCTTTAAGTAGCCGGGGGGTCACGGGCAGATGGGGCCGACCGCTGTGCCTTCCGGTACCAGGACAATCTGGTGGGTCGGAGCTCATTCAACACGAGCCGTACACTGGACTGTCACGGCTACTGCGAACTCATTTGGGAAGTTCAGTGCGTCTGACTCATTCTTTTAGTTTACCATCATCAGTGGGTATATCTTCGTCAGTTGGAGCAGAGTCAAGTCAATATTGTCCCCATATTCTGAGATCGAGAAGATTGAAGATGGGATGTATCCTTAGGACAAAACATTCCAAGTGACTCTAGAACCAAGGAAACTTGTAATTTCAAGTCAAAAGAAGCTCCACCTGTATTTGGTAATCCAGATCCTGTCATGAATCCTGTGAGGGCTAAGCAGGGCAGGGCTGGGTAAGTGCTGTGATGGGAGACCTCTGGAACACTAGGTGCCACTGTGGGGCGGCTGCGGCTGTAAGAAGGATAAACACATCAAAGCAAAAGCCATTGCAGCGTACTTTACTTCCACGCTCCCCATTGGCAAAGTGGGTTAAAGTGTCTTGCCCAAGGACACAACGCCAGCAGTGGGAGTCGGTGGAGAAAGGTCCTTGTGGTGGGCTCGAACCCATGACCTTTAGGCTCAAAGGCTACTGCCTCTACCAGCTGAGCCCACTGTCGTATAACTGTGGTTGTGTCCTTAGGCAAGACACTTGGTGGTGGTGGAGGGGCTGATGGCACCGTACTGGCTGCCTCGCTGCTGTCATTCAACCCCTGGCAGCCGTGGCTACAATATTGAATGAATCATGTCAATCAAGCCATTTAGTTTCTAAAACCAATCTGATTAATAAAGTATCGAAACTTTGTGATCGCACACAGGTGTAATGTTTTGTAGTACGAAAATAGACAAATTGCATGGGTATTGGTATGGCCCGGCATTAACATCTGGTTTGATCAAGAATCTAACCGTTCAATAACCGTTGGTCCAAAATGGTGAAGAACCAACGTACCAGGAATGTTGATTTGTGGAGAGAGCCATCCTGGTTCATGGCTTGAATTAACGGTGCCTGTTCCTAGAGACGCTTTGTTTTTTTTTTGCGATTGGGTTTCTTCACATCCGGTGAAACAGAGCCGTGATTATTGCTTTCCTATCACCTGATGCTCTTAGTGTTGAGACGGTCCTTAAGTGCGGGGCGGTCGACTTAGCCTCATCCGATCTTCCACATCTGCAGAGAAAACCCATTTGCGCCGGCACTTCCTGATTGGCGAAAGCTGCATGAAAAGCGCAGCGGAGAATGAACGCTCAGGTGGGCTGACGGCTCAGGGCTCAGGGTCCGGAGCCCGGGCGACGGAGCCTTGAGCGAGGCTGTGGTTTAGCATTCGCCATTTCCTCTTGTGCACAGAGAGAAACAGTCACAGGCAAAACATGTCAAAACCATCTGGAGAAACCCATGGGCCATAGGGAGGGACCAACATGGTAGGACCATAGGGAGGAACCACATGGTAATTGGTACCATAGGGAGATGACCACATGGTATTGCTGCATTCAGCCTCCTCAATTTTAGTCCTGACTTGTGGGACCAGCAGGAGGCCAGTCCCTGGGCTCCTCAGAGTCCCAGCAGGAGGTTAGGCTTAAGGTGAGTCTGTGTAAGGTTAGTGTACATACTGTATTTTTTTATTACAATTATTGACATTCTGTTTTTCTGTAGTAGACAGTATTTTCTGAGCTTTATTAAAACCCGT